ACAAAACTCTTGGAGCAATCCCAAAGTCAATCAGTGAAGTGAATTTAAAGGTAAAGGTGTATTTATACAATGGAATGTTATAGAGCAGTATAAATGAATGAACTGCATTAACATGGATGATTTCAATACCATAATGATTGAAAAAAGCAAGCCCACAGATGATCCATACTACATGAATCCATTTATATAAATTTCAAAGACAGACAAAACTAAAGAATATGTTATTTAGAGATATATGCATATCTGTTACAACTCTAAAGAAGAACAAATAATTAATAAAAAATTCAGGATAGTGGTTGATTTTCATGAGGATGGAAGATGTTGTGGTAGAAGCGCAGAGGGATTCCAAGGTCTTGGCATTATTCTAACTCTTAAGCTGGGTGATAGGTACATGGGTGAACATTTTATTATTTTTATTTTAAATTGCACATATATATTGTATACACTTTTTTGAATGTTTAATAGATTTCAAAATAGAAAAAAGTAAAAAGAAAAAAGCAATGTCTCAGCTGTCAGTCTGCCTGGATTCAAATCCTAATTCTACGACTTACTAGCTAGGTGGCCTTGGGCATGTTACTCTAACTCTGTATGCCCCAGTTTATTCATCTCTAAAATGGGGATACCAATTGTACCATTATTTTGAGGATTAAATGAGATCTGTGTAAAGAATTTAGAAAATAGCTAAAAGTGCATAGAAAGTGTGTAATAATAATAATAAATTATATATAACATATAATAAGTTTATAATTATTATTTCCCCTAAAGATCTCCCTTCAAAAACATTAAAGCTCATTTCTAAAGAAATAAAAGGAATTTTTCTGGAGAACACTAAGACATTTGGTGGAGGTTTTGGAATCCCACTATAAAGCCTTACCCTAAAAAGAATTCTCTGTCCATTCCATGCAATGCACCCTGATATTTTATAAACCTGGCCTTGCACTGCCTCACACGGAGCACTCTGTCAGAATTTCCACACAGGACAGAAACTTGGGTGCAGACCACCCTATCATACACAAGCAGGGAAGACATAAAACAGTAACTCTTTCACAGCAGTTACTCAGTTCTTCTTTCTTACATATGAACAGATAATAATGGCTCACCAGACATAGGAAAACCACAACAACAAAGAAAAACAAAAAGAAATGGAAGCTGCAGGAAACATGTCATTCAGGAAATAAAGTGAACTTTGAAAATCTCAAGTGATCCTATGGAAAAGACACAATCAGATAATAAGAAAACTCTTAGGGATTTAAACATGTCACTAAAATTTAAAATTCAATAGAAATACTCAAAATAAAGTGAGGGACTCACTTTAAGTGAGGCTGTAGAGGAAAAACCAAAGGTGTAAAATAAAGGAGAAATACAAGAAACAACTGAGAATGTTCAACATCCGACAATCACGTGTCTCAGAAAAAAGTAAGATAAAGTTAGGAACACAATTATTTAGGAAATAATAGTAGAGATGAAATAATCCCAGATATGAAAAGGAATTAATTGTTAGGATATATAAGACATCAAATGACATATATAATACATAAAACATCAATGATGTGGAAGAGAAAACCAAATGGATTTTCAGGTGTGCAGAGACTCAGAAAGTTTACTTTTGTGCACCCTCTCTTAGGAAGCCACTTAGGATATACTGTAGAAGAGAGGAAATGAAAAAAAAAGAAAGAGATAAGGGATCTCTCAAACAAGGGATTCAACTGGGTCAGGTATGAGGACAAGGTGACAGTTTTGTGCACAATTAGAGATCATTTAGTCCAGATGGAAGCATAAAGATAAAGGGCTTCAGGTAGGAAATATGGGAAGCTGCATTAGTGATGTCAAAATTAGTGATTTGAAAGATATGGTAAAGCCAACTAATGGAGTCTAAAATGGTGAATCTATTTATCTTGATTCTAAGAACATTTTATTTTCAATGGCACAGGAGAAAAACAGTAGATCAAAAGAGCGGGAAATATCCTTATCACAAAGTAATATGGCTCTGCAATGAGCAATATATTTTTCTGTGGTAAAAAAGAAAATAAAACTTGCCCTCTTAACCATTTTTAGGTGTACAGTTCAGCAGTGTTAAGTATATTTCCATAGTTGTGAAACAGATCTCCAGAACGTTTTCATCTTGCAAATTGGAAACTCTATCCATTAAACAAAACTCCCCTTTTTCTCCTCCCGCCAGTTCCTGGTAACCACCATTCTACTTTCTGTTTCTATGAATTTGACCACTTTAGAGACCTCATATAAGTGGAATCATACAGTATTTGCCTTTTTTTGTCTGGCTTATTTCACTTACCATATCGTCCTCAAGGTTCATCCATGTTGTAGCATGTGATAGACTTTTACTCCTTTTTAGGCTCAATAATATTCCATTCTATGCACATGTCACATTCTGTTTATCCACTCATCCATAGATGGACATTTGGTTTGCTTCCACCTCTTGTCTATTGTGAACAGCACTGCTTTGAACATGGGTGTGCAAATATCTCTTTGAGACCCTACTTTCACTTCCTTTGGATATATACCCAGAAGTGGGATTTTGCTGGATCATATGGAAGTTCGATTTAAAAAATTTTGAGGAAACTCCATAACTGTTTTCCATAGCAGTTGCACCATTTTACAATCTCACCAACAGTGTACAAAGGTGCCAATTTTTCCACATCCTCACCAACACTTATTATTTTCTGTTTTTTGATAGTAGTCATCCTAGTGTGTGTCAGGTGGTATCTCATTGTGGTTGTGATTTGCACTCTCTGATGATTAGTGATGTTGAGCATCTTTTCATATTTTTGTTGGCATATCATCTTTGGAGAAATGTCTATTCAAGTCCTCTGTCTATTTTTTAATCAGGTTACTTGATTATTTGTTGTTAAGTTGTAGGTGTTCTTATATATTCTGGACATCGGCCTTTTATCAGACATAGGATTTGCAAATATTTTCTCCCATTCCAGAAGTTGCCTTTTCACTCTGTTGATTGTGTTCTTTGATGGACAAAAGTTTTTTAGTTTGATGTAGTCTCTTTTGTCTATTTTTGCTTTTGTTGCCTATGCTTTTGGTATTATATCCATGAAATCATTGCAAAATTCAATGTCATGAAGCTTTCCCCTTATGTTTTCTTCTAGGAATTTATTGTCAGTGAGCAATATTTTGAGAAAGAGAAAAGCAGCCCCCTACAACTAGGAACTGGCCTGACACTCACAAGTAGGCCATGATCTTCTCCTGTTTAACATAAGCAATTTCACAGAACAACAACATCATTAAAGACCATTGTGACCCTGATGGAACAAGACCAAAATAAGATGATTTCATGATCATGCTTGAGCAGAGACAAAAATAATTACATTGTACAAACACCAACTGAAAGACCAAAGAGTCCTGTTTCCTGGCTATTATGAGTAAATGCTGGTTTTAGAAAACCAGTTACAGCTTTAACTTCACTTTGTTCTTCCCATCTCCTAAATAAAATTCATTAAGATATCCAATCATAGAATTGCCCCTACTCTCTGAAAGCATCCGATCCAGAGTTAGCCCCTACTTCCTTGAACCCCACCCGAAGTCACTTAACACAAGCCCAAGTCGTATAACTCCTTTGTAAGACACTGTTACTAGGGTGACCCATGGTTCCTCATGGTGTGCAGTCTCCCTCATTACAAGTCTAAACCCAACTTTGTTCTGATATAATGTGTTCCTGGTGATCTTTGGCTGCAAGGCATTCATAATATATATGCTCATTAAAAGTGAATTTTTAATTTTTATTTTCAGGTTCTAAAACAGATCTATAAACAATACAAGGAATTCTTAGCTATAGTTGTAGAGGCGAAAGTGTCAGCAACCTTGACCATATGAAAGTAAAATTCACTAGAGAGAGGTTTGAAAGTGTAAGGAAGAAACCAGTAACAGGAAAAATAAGAATTCTATTCTTCTTTCATACCAAAAAAATCAAAAGAAACTGTTGTTAGTGGAACAATAAATGGAGGTTTCAGTTTGAGCAGAGAAGTACCAGAAAATGGTGAGCTCGCTGTATGTGAAGGATGGATGAGAGAAGTTTTAAGTGTACTAGGTACTAAACAATAATAGCAGGAAATTAATTGCTTAAAGTTTAAGAAAAAGTTACAAATGTATTCTTTAATAATAAGAAAGTAAAATAAAAAGCACTAGGAAAAAAAGGTTTAAAAGTGCTTTCCAATGGGATAAAATGGAAAAGAGTACCGGATGTTGGCAAGAATGTGGAGGAACTGGCACATCCACACACTGCTGATAGCAGTGTATATTGGTGCAACCACTTTGTAAAATATTTGGAAATATCTGCTAAAAGTGGACATGTACTTACTAAATGAGCAGCACTTCCATCCCTAGGTATACACCCAACAGAAATGCACATACGTGTTTGCCAAAGACATGTACAACGATGTTCACAGTAGTAGTATTCAAACAGCCAAACCTTGTACCAACCCAAATATTCATCTACAGGGTAATAAATAGTGAAATATTCATATAGTGGAATACTACACAGCAATGAGAATGAAAAACCAAAATTAAAAGCAGTATCATGGATAAATGGCATAAACATAATGTTGAGTGAAAGAAGTCAGACACAAAACAGTTCATACTCTACTATTCCACCTATATAAATTCAAAACAGGCAAAACTATAGTATTACAAGTCAGGACATTTGTTATACTTGGGCTGGTAGTGATTTTTAAGGGGTAATTTGTACGGCACCTGGAACGATAGTAATATTTCATTGCTTTATTAAGATGCTGGTACCAAGTATGTTCACTTTCTGAAAATACATTGAACATTAAAGATTTGTTTACTTTTCTGTATATGTGCTATAACTCAATAAAATTTTGTTTTAAAAAATGTTTGCCAGTGGGGATGAGAGCTAGGAAAGAAGAGTAGATAGAAGATCATTGCTTTTCGTCATTTTTTCCCCCACATATTACATTTGTTATCATATGCATGTATTCGTTTGAAAACAAAACAGAGAAAATTACGTTAAAACATTTTTTATTTTTGCTGTTTAGCACTAAATATACTTAGAATGTGATGAAACAGAATGGATAGAATACAGAGAAAAACAATTAATATTTGATTTTATTAAGACAGTTCATGGCAACAAACACCAAAAGAGGGACCAAAAATTTCAGGGAAATCAACAGCATGTATGGATTTGGAATGGCACTCTGTAAATAAATGCAGTGACATAGAATTGAGTTTTCCAAAATTGGACAAGAAAAGTTCAATGGACACATTCATTACAAACGGTAAATCAAGGCTGTACCTGAAGGTGGGATTTTTTTCTCCAGGACTCTCTCAAATTCTGTATCTGGGGAAATTAGAGATAAATGACAACAGTGCGTCATGATCCAATCCCTAGTCGAATCCAAAGCTATTCCGGAAGGTGGCGTTTTCCTCTATTTCTTGGCCAGCGCTCTGGGGAGGGAGGTTGGGAAGAATGGGCTTCAAGAATTTGAACTCATTTGTCCCAGTACCTCCGGTCAGACACACCTCATACTGGTAGCTCTGGGACAGGGTCCCAGTACCGCCGACGTCCACCAGGTGGCCCGGAAAGTGGCCCTCAGGCACCGAGCAGCGACCCAGCGAGGCGGCCCTGCTCCTCCCGCACAGCCGCACCGCGATGA